AATAATAACAACCACAGACTGAAACAGTTTATCGACAAAGTATCTAACAAACCCACTGGAAATGACCTGCCCAGACTAGCCTGGGTCAAGCTGAACCAACTTAGAACCGGACATGGATGTTTCCGGGCCGCCCTACACAAGTGGGGTCTCACTGATGACCCAATTTGCGAATGGGGCGATGGCAAGGAGCAGACAGCTGACAACGTCCTATACTCCTGCCCTCGCTTCAGGTGCCCCGGCAACTTCACCGATTTGGATGAGGCACCTTACTGTGACAATATAACTATGTAACATCTGCATGTTAAGCTCATACGAATAATCCATCTCATTCATGAGTTACAACATAATTAAGGTAACTTACAGTACAACAGAGATTGTGATTAAATCATTGATTTATGTAGTCCGTCTACACAAACAAATGGAGATTTTTCAACATACAAGGTACAGTACGAGTTGAATTCTGGAGCAAGTTTCCAAAATTACACAGCAGAAAGCAGTAATGTGCAAACAACACTTAGAGCTCTTTCAAAGGTCTGAGAAAGGACCAATTAGCAAATGGTCAATCATGTTGTTTGTTAACTTCCATTTGATAACGTCTAGTCATTTACACTTTTAACAGAAAAAGGTACACAAAATAGACAGTATATTGTACTCCTTTATAATTAAACTTCAGCTTTTTATTTATGCATTTTAAACCACTGTAATTGTGGCGGCCATTTAGTAGACAAAGAAAATGCCTGAAATTACAGTTTCACCATTAAGGAACAGGTTTCCAATTTTACATTAGTGGGTGAGGACAAGTTTTGATTTATTTTTGTTTAAGGCCTGTCACCAGCCAAGTGACCAGGCTTGGCTCAAAATAAAAGAAACTCCCACAAGCGGTCTTCAAATGCAAACAAAACTGGATTTATTGCCCCCCAAAAATAGGGATAACAAACAAACAAAAAAAAAAACCCTCACAGGAGTACTCTCCAGACCTTTCCTCCAAGGCACCCTCCTCCATACTGAGCTCTCCCAGTCCCTTTTATAGCCCCTCATATCCCAGGGCCATTCTTTCTTAAAGGAACTTGCTCATATCTGGTGGACAATTTTTAAACAAATAAAGTACTTAATACAAATCCAGAGTAACCTGTAAAGTTTAACAAAGTCATGGAACAGCTTTTATACCTTTAAACCAAACAAATAATCATACATTAGTTATTAATAGATGGCCTACTAGAAACCTTTCCCTTTAAGATCAACGGTGTTTTTAGTACTGCTGATGTGGCAGTGTGGGGAACTACAAACTACAAACAGAAGGTGACTGGTGGCCATGTTGTCCAACACAACACAGTACTCCGACAGGGAACACTGCACTGATTTTAGGGGAACAACAAAAAGGGTAAGTATCATTCACACTTCATTTGTATCACATACACTCTCTCAAGCATACCAGAAGGGTAGAGGGAAGTATTGGAGTATTTCACATTCAGAAAGAAAAAATAGCAAGCACTCTGTCACAAGGCCTGATCGAGTTATTTTATGGCACATTTACAAGAAACAGAAAATAGAATTTAGGATGCTCCATTTTTCTACTACATGAAAACCTCCCAGAAAGAAATAGGTACTCTATGTACTTAACAATTAGTGGGAGAGTTAACATTTTGATTAAGTGTAGGCCCTAGCCAGTTCTTCAAAGCATTCCATCAAATTTCCTAAATGAATGTCAATTGCAATTAGTGAAAATACAATTAGGGATTAAAGCATGAAACAACTGTAATACTTTTGCTCAATCATTCTTGATATTTTAGCTGTGGAAGAAACTGAATAAAACTGAAGTACTAGACACTGGTTTAAAAAAAGTTTAAATTGTAAATTAAACATTCTTCCTACAATATTAAAATCCAGTGTAAGAAATAATTTCCTCCTGGACTCCATAGGCATGAAACAAATTTAAAAAATATATTATTTAACAGGAAAAGACTAATTGATTTGAAATCTTCTAAGTGACCTACCTGTACTGTACATCTTTCTATTACTTATAAATGTTATTTTAACAAATTAAATTGATTAATATAATTTCATCTGCAAAGTTAATAAGCACAGAATGGAGTAGAGGCAGTGATATTTTTTGCTGTTTTTGTTTCAGGTGGAAAGATAAAAAGGCAGTCAGACTTCCAGCTGTTTTCGCTCTGACTGGAAGTCACTCAAGAAATAAAAAAGTAATTCAAGTGTAGAAGTGTAATCATGACATGAGGCCAATAGTGAAGAGTGATGAGCAGCATGGAGGTGAGGTGTATGAGGTGAACATATAGTGATACTATTATTCTTGACAGTCAACAAGGGCTCTGCTGAACAGATTCTTGCTTGCCTATCTACATTTTTGAAGAAGTCACAAAAATATGCAGACTTGTGGTGCTTAAATGACAGTGTGTATCTGGATTTTCAGACTGCCTTTTCCCGAAAAACAGCAGGTGTCTCTGCTGCTTAGTGTGTCTATGAGTCTAGAGCTGGATTCAGTGCAGGTCAGAGGGAGCAAACGTAAGATAGCAATAGATGCTGTCGATCACTACTCTTCCTCATCCAGTTGCCATTTCTATAAGATTTGGAAGAAGACAGATAACGCGGTTTTGCATGTGTGTTGAGTAAGGATATACTGTAATACTACATGAGATGTAGAATTTGAACGCACACAGAAGCTGTAGTAGATTTATCACAAAAGAAAGTTGAATGTTGTACTTTTGTTTGAGATTTGGTTAAGCTAAAAGTACATAACCAGAAAAGCAAGCAAACTGCAAATGAAAAAGGTAAACCTCAAGGAGCATCCTAATATACATAATCATCAAAGTTACTGTAGCTGAGAGACTGAACAGAAAAAAAAACAAAAACCTAACTAAATGCTAAATGATAAACTAAATGAAAAGCTATGATACTTTTTAGCAACATTAAATATACAAAACAATTTATTTAGATAATTATTATATCTAAAAGGATAATTCTATATTACAAAATTAATTTACTTTGCAATCCTGTGAGAAAAACATTTTAACAGATTTTCTTCTTTCAATCCAACAGCGATTCACCACATTTTCTAAATGTCTGGTGGTCAATATCAAAATCTGTAGAAATTGCTGCGAATACAATACATTGAAATTCCATACTGAGCAATGCACGAGATTCAGTAAAGTTCCCATGTGAGTCATTATAATAGTACTAGTGATGTGTGTCATTAACATGAAGTATGAATTAAGGAATACAATCCATTCTCTAGGTGAAAATCTATATAAAAACCATCATATATGAACAGGGAAAATATTAAAATACCATATATTAGCATATTGCACATATTGCTAAAAAAATAGATTTTTATATTTTAGCTAAAAATATAAAAATCAAGTTAAGTGCTGTATCACAATACGCAACTCCTATTTTGTTGTTCTTTTCTGCTTGCACAGTCCAAGCAGCTAAACAAGAATAGAATCAGAATATGTCAGAAATCAAGCATGTTTAAATAAGGGATCAGTAATACATGCATGTGTATTTTTCTTTATTCCTGTTGCCTGCAGCTCTTCAGTAACCATTGCGACTTCTTGCTGTTCAAAGGTACAAGATTTGCATTAAAATGCCATCGACTACCAACCCTTTTTTTTTACAAATGGACTACAGCTGTTTGATATACCCCTTAATGCTCCATACATTATTTAATATGGATACACATTTCATTCTGTACAATGATGAATGGAGAGGACATTTTTTCCATTTAGCAACAGCAGAATTTCCCGGCTTTCTGAACCAAGTAGGTACTATTGCAAGATGCACTGCCTCTTAGCATAATTCAGCTGAACCTATATCGACATGCACAAATAACTTCACCACTTGTGATTGGATAAATAGTGCTGAAATCAATGATCTATACCAGAATGAAAGTTGAAAACAAAATTAGATGTTTGTGCTTGGCAGTAAGTGATCGTGTCCCTGGTTATATATACTTCCAAATATTCCAGTCCTCTGATTAACTGTTAGACTCTGGACTTATAAGGAAAACAAGTTTTCTTCCAGCACAAGAAGACCACAGGTTGCTTTTTTCCATTAAACGCATTAGAAGGTAGTCCCATCTAAAAGCACAAGAGCAGCAAAAGAATTTCCATACCATATTTAAGGGTAATGCCTGGGGAGGTAGTTAAAATGTGGGGCAAATAAGAAAGTCATTTTTTATTTTCTCATATGGAGCTTTGTTGAGGCGAGACAATGCTCGAGCTACTCTGAGGTTACTTAGCACCTCCATTCTGACATTAATTAGACTAGCTGCAAATTAATTTAGACTTCATCTCGGTAGGGAACTGAATATTCTGGGCCAATGTCATAAAAAAGAAAAGAGCAAATGGTAACCCAGCAACGCCCTCAATGAGAATGAAAAATACCAGTTTCCGTATGCATAGGAACAATCATTATTAATTCTCATAATACTACATCATGCAAGGCTCCAGATGAAGCAAAGTCCAGGTTTTCTATAAATGCACAGCTGCTTAAGAGAAAGAAGGGAAGTATAACATGGATGAATACTGTGCTTTCATTGAGTTCATACTCACCGTTACCTTCAAAGCTTGTTATTACAGAGACGGTCAGTACAGTGATGTTGCTATTGATCGCAAAAAAATGGTATTCCCATGATGACTGGTAATATCCTCATGCAATATCAACATTTTATGCAATAAAGACAATATTTCATTTCAAGACAGTCTCTAATAGAATATTCTTGGCAATTTGCATTCCAGTAAAATAGCTCAGCTTTAATCTTATTATTCAGGTCACTGGAAAGGACACAATTTCAAAACGAAACCATCAGCCTCGAGAGACCAGATGAAACAATGTTGTGATTGGTTGAACTGCAGATCAGACTTAATGATCATGGCCTGCATATGCCTTTCACTTATATAGCTCTAATTTAATAATGAAATGGATTGCTCGTGCCATCAGAGTCACCGAAAAAATGCAAACGTCATCACACTGTTATTTTCCAGTTTTCCTTCTGTTTCACTTTAATGAACAGACAGACCATTATGCATTAAAAATATACATCACATTTATTGTTTTGTTAATCACCATTAGAGTTGCCACAGAGTCATTTTGTCATCTTCTAATAATTAATTTGGGCACTACAGGTAAGAGCCTGTTATCTATCTGGTACATACAGCAAGTCTCCCTGTCTTCACCTAGCATCATTGTTGGCTATAGAAAAACAAAAACGTTGACATAGCCGATACACACATCACTTTTCCTAAAGGTAACACAAAGTACAAAAAGCAGATCTTGAAATAGTAAGACTCTGATACTATAAAAAACTTTTGTCCATAAGAAAACAATGCACTTATTTCTACTGTACTCCTCTTGCTTCTTCTTTCTTATTAGCAGCTAAGGGGAAAGTGATAGAAATAATTGACAAAGAGAACCAGTTTAAAAGAAGCCCTAGTTTAACAGCCACGATAGCTTAAATGGTAAACACTCCACTTACCATAGAGCTTCAGGTTTAGATGAATATTTTAAAATTCAGTAGATGGCAAAGTTCATGGCACAGGAGCCCTGTTAGCTGGCTTAAAGGAATGAATGACTCTTTCCCCACACTGTACAATACAATACTATAGTGATATTGGAAAGACTTGGAAAAACAGAACAAACTAAAAAATAAAAATGCATATTTTCAATCCTTCCTTTTTTTGGGATGAGCTGTCCTAATCACCATGTCTCTGGGTCTGTCAAAGGGATAAGGCCAGGCAAACCACCTGTTTTCAGATAAAAAGTTCAGCTCCAGCAATATCTGAGGAGCTTGTCGTCCAACCTCACCATGGAGCAGAGGGGATCACTAAAGCCAGGAGTAATGTTGTTGTCACTGAGCATGTTGATAGACTGTGAATGGATCTCTGGTGGCTTTTAGCTCTGACACCTGAAGAGGGGAAACAGGAAAAGAAAAATGTCTCAGTCTAGTTGAAAAGAAATAACAAAAATAGAACTTAATAGCGTTTGTCATTTGACATACTGTACTGTACATGTGTATGAGTATGCTTTCCATAGTGATAACCCTAAAATGGCTTAAAGGTCACATTCTTAAAACCCTTTTTGATAATGTCAGTTGCTACAGGACTTTCAAAGTTTACTTGTGTTATTTTGCCTAGAGTTTAAAATATTAAAAATGAGCACATCAATGCATTCCTAGGCACAGTAACATATTTTATGGTTATATTTGATGAGTTTTTTTTCAATTTTCTTTGCCTGCATTATACAGTACATTGATGCATTGATACCAATTACTGGTATGTCTTTAAGATAATGTCTGTTGGGAAGTCACTGCTGTGTTTTCCCATGCTTGCACTTTGTAGATGATTCCTGAAATGAAAATATTGTTTCCCAATAACTGTGCTGCGGGAGATGACTCCTGATGTCTGAATAAATGTGCAAAGTTTTCTGTTGTCAAAAATCTTGTAACTATCATCTGGTGCAGCACAAACTCATGTTTTGTGTCTATCAAGCTATGTAAATGAACGAGTGCTTTGGGAAAATCTTTTGAATGTGATAACTTTACTAAATTGCCTGTTAGTTCTGCAGTAACTGTGATGGTAAACTTATAATTCATCTTGTCGTTCAAGGCCAGTGGCAAACCTAATTAGCTGTGGAACAGTGTAGGTGTGCACCAGTGTGCTAATTAAAAGATTATTAAGTCCTGGTAAACTTGTTTGTGTAACAGCTGTGGTAACTTAATTATTACAGTATGTACCACATTTACAAAAAACGCTGGTAAACATTTCATTAGCCCTACAATACATGGTGTAACATATTTTTAAACGGATTATTGGTATTACATCAAAGGCATATTCTTCTCATACAGAAAGCATATATTGTGATTTTTTTCATGAATCAAGCTGAGTGTTACCAGTCATTTGCAAATTCTCAGAACCTTATCTGAAATATGCTCAGTACTGGAAATATTCACAGAAAGAAAGGATACTATATATTTTTTTTCAAGAAGAAAAAACCTGTATCCATGCTTAATAATGAAAGTGATTTTTTTTTCCTGTAACGACTATTATTAATGTATTTGGGAAAGATTTTCTTCACAGATGTTGACATGTAGCATGTTTGAACAGCCTGTCATCTGTGAGACCTGTTGAAAAGGGACCTGTGAGTTTCCAGTGCTATATACAGCATGAAATATCATACACTAAGGTTTACAGACAATAAAGGTAAAGGATGTAAATATCACCGGTATAATTAAAGGTCATGAGTAAGAGACAAACTCCTTTCACCTGAGGACTTGAGGACTCTGATTTGTGAGCTGGCTGTGCTCTCTCCCCCTTCGCTGAAAGCTCGCACCTCAATGATGTAGGTCCCACCATCTGTAAGGGACAATACAGCCGAGGTACTGCTTGTCTCTATCACCTGACTGTGGCTCCTGCCCTCTTGACGAAGTAAGACCTGCAATGCAAATTGCACAAACGATGCCAGTGTAAGTAACTTCCTGTTTAATGACAAGCCATGCAATGACATTCAGTAATTATGTCTAAAGTAGCTTCAGCGGGTTTTCAAGGCTAAAGTACAGTATAGTATGCATTGATACAGAAAAGAAATGCAACACTTGCGGATTAATGGATTTTATTAAATATTAAAAACAGAGCTGTCAAGAAAAATGAAACATAAAGTGAGGAAATAAAACATTAAAGTCAGTACGAGCTCTATAAGAATGAACCCAATCCTAGCAACATTGAGACACAGGCCTGATCAGCCTCTGGATAGAGAGCTGTGGGATGCTGTAATTTTGCTCAACTCAAATACAAGTCCATGAAGTTTTTAAAATATTTAACCCTTTTGGCTTGCTCTTAGTATTTTATTTTGGCAAGGAACAATATTGTTACAACTCGATGTTAACAAACCTGCAGTATCTGCTTATTACTTGAAATGTACATAACATTATGTACTGTATATGCCCAATGAGTTATTGATGGTAGGTTAACACTATTAAGTTTTCATTGTCCATGACTATACAAAACAAGAACAGGCATGCAAGAAAACATGTTCTTTCAAAATCTCTAATGTTTACTTTCCCTAGATGTTGATTATTGTCTGCTATTTTCCAGATTAAATGGCACTGCAAAAACGGTCACTTACAAGTCAAAAAGAGCTACTAGGTTCCTACCAATCTTAACAGCACAGTATATCTCAGAGTCTTTGTCTCTCTTCAACATCATTGGTGAAGTCCCAGACTTTAAATGTAACAAAATGTATTCTAAAGGTAATAAGCTCACCTTGTAACCCATGACGTCAGATTCATTATCAAGTGATTTCACAGGCTCCCATCCTAAGGACACATTATCTCCATCCTGAATCCACATGAGATTGCTGGGTGGTTGACTTGGAGCTAAATGACAGAAGCAAAATAAACCAATGGATGCATTTCCCTTTATTTGATGGAGTGGTTGAGGTGGATAATTGATTAAGGACGAAGGACTATACTCTTAAACTTCAGATTTTCAAGATTGTCACTTTTGTGCTTTGCATTTAGGGATTTTCACAATTTACTTTCTGCATTCTGCAGGCTCGTATCTGAAGTGATTGAGCTAAAAACTGAAAATGGATCCACTAGGTTTATAAAAAATGTGTTGTGTCACTGAACAACATACGTGATTTCTTGGTTTTTGCACGAACAGCAGTGCTTGCGGGGCCTTGGCCGATGTTGTTGTAGCCCTTCACTGTGATGTGATACAAAGTGTTTCCCTCTAAACCAGTTAATAAGATGGCCGTCTCATTTCCAGGAGTTTTCAGCTTTTCCCCTGATTCTTCCTGCTCCATATCCTTCCAGAAGTTCACCTTTCAAAAACACACATGGGAATATTCACTTCTGACTGACAGAAACACTTTGATCGATTCATTGTCACCAGTTAACTTCCAAACAGTACTTCACACAGCTGAATATATTATATACAGTATAAACATAAGCTAGTACTAGAGAAGCCTTGCAGTCATTAGTGAAAAAATGTCTTTAATCTAGCCACGTCAGTGCTAATTATTTATAGACATGTAAAATTCAATAAAACAAAAACAAACAAAAAAGTCAATTACTTGCTCAAAAAATGAAAAAGTCAATGGATTAAAAAAAACAGTTTCACTCCTATAGCAGGGGCTGTGTTGATGGAAGAACTGAATCCCGCATCTGCAAATAGATTTGGCAGAACACAGGGAATTTTTTGATGTGTGAAAACAACGCAACAACACATTTAGTGATTGATTTTCTAAAGATAGTAAATATCCTTGAGCAAGCCTGATCTTTAGAGGGTTTTGACTTTTATGTTACATTGACAGTACTGCAGCCTATAAACCAAAAACCCACAGATACTGTACAATTCAGTACACTCACATGCAGAAACTAGCTTCTCTTATTTTTATTGCACATACTACCTCATATCCTTGGGGTCTTCCTGGACCAGGAGTAGGAGGCCTCCATGCTACCTGGATCTCAGAGGAAGACACACTGGCTGCCTTCACTTCAGAGGGGGCTTCCCTGGGCTCTGCATTAGAAAGCATTATACTGTACATCACCCATCAAACACAGGGGATGGGCGAGTGTCAGCCTGGCAGTGATGGAGTCAGTGCTTTTGCTTGAAGGAGTCAACCTCCTGTGATCAACTTTTAATGAAAATAATGTCTCAGGTTTCCAAGAACAACTGCACATCAAGCTGGCAAGGGAATTATTAAAGTCCCATTTGAAATTCTGCCACTTTGTTACACTGGCACAGCCACTGGATTTGTATTTACACACATCCAATCATTTTATAAACGTAACCGAGTCTGTTCAAAATGAAGTAAAGTGTATTTGTGCATGCAAAAGTGATAGGTGTTGGGGACAGAGAGCAAACATAATTATAGCAGGATTAAATTGCTTAACATTATGTTTCATAATGCAACAAATTCTAGCATCTTTTTTATTACCCATGATATATGACTATTCTCTTGCTATGGTCAAGAAAAGAAAGTCAATCAAAGCACATACCTCCTTCTGCAGAGTAGACAGTGACAACTTTGCTGAAGGGCCCATCTCCTTTGTTGTTATAAACTCCCACCTTCACTTCAAATGGGGTTAATGGAGGGAAGGTCTCATCACGGTATTTGAAAGTGGTGGAGTCAGCTGACGTTACCATTTTTTCTTTCCAGCCTCGAGTCCCATTGGCTCTGAAAGCCACAATGTATCCAAATCCCTCCCCATTCTGATATTCTTCTGACACTGGCTACAGAGAAATACCATAGAAGAACAAAACTTGAATATAGTATCGCTTAGACATTACTATAGTTATCCTGGATCTTATATGAATACAACTCAAAATTCATACTGTACCTTGGTGAAATACTTCTACTTTTATTTAATGAATGATGTGCATATGAACATTTTTTAACAAAAAACAGGAAGCTAAATGTTGATATGGGGAAAAATGAATTAAGCAAACCGCTGGGACTATGTAATAGAAGCAAAATAAATCCTTGTGCAGCATCATTGTTTAAGATATTCTGTGATTTGTAACCCTGAACTTAACCACAACATCTCGATGAAATTCTGCACAATTCACGGATACACCTCTAATTCTACAGATATTTTCATGTACTGATTACACATAAATGGATAGTTTGCTAAAATAAAGATGCTCAGTCTGGCAAAATGATGACTAGTGTTTCTACAGAAGTGATATTAATAGCTCCACAATTTTAATAAAACATCTTTGCAAGATTTTCAATTAAATCTAGCACACTCAGCTTTGAGGCAGCAGAAAGCATAGAAATGACATTTGTATGGTTCTAAAACTGTATTCATATCAATTTGCAGCGATAATTTCAGGGAAATAGCATCTTAATTGGCATTGAGATGGGATTACAATGGGAAAAGGTTTGTTAAAGCTAGATGGGCTCACAATATGGTCTTTGACCAGTTTTAATTTAAAATCTGTCAAACTAAATTGAACACTTGAGGGGGTATATCTTAACTTAATAGGAGAATAAATACATGATATATCACACTTAATAAGCAAAGACCTCTGTACAGGCTTTAACCAGTAAATTCTTCTCAGAGTTCAGAAATATTCTGAAATCTACTGAGAAGCATTAAAAGCTCAACAAAAGCTAGAGGTTCCAAATGCTCATCTGTTGCATTTTCTGATGTCTCTAAGTATATTTCTGTAGAGATGATCCCACAGAGAATCTTGCAAACACGAAACACCACTGCTCGAAAAGTGGTATTTACATGAAAAATGTAATACCACTGCTCGAAAAGGTTCAGAACCCAGCTACTCGGTAGAATGGGCACAGCCAGGTGCGATAAAAGGCAGACTAAATCTCGTCCAGGTCCAAAGTCTGGATTGAAGAGAAGCTCAAAGCTGGAGAAACACAGTGTAAGGTTCAAAAGGAAATCAACAAGTGGGATTGAGACACCAAAGGAAGGTTCATAGCCGAAAACTTCACAGTTCAGATGTACTAAGGCACATCCAATAGATGAGGTCAGAGTGAAGTCAGAACTCGAGAACTAGAGAAAAAGAACAATTCTCAGTGCAGAATGCTATAACTGAGCCCAGGGCAGGCTTTATGTCGCCTGATCCATCTGAGATGGGAGTGGTCATAAATTGCACAGGTAGAGCAGGCTTACTTTCTGATAATGTAACCACGGCTACAAACAGTAGCCTGCTAGGTGAGTGGACACGTGGCTGGCTGCTGTGGTTATTACCAGGTAATAAAGCTTGAAAAGATAAAGCGTGTTTCTGAATAGAATCAAAGTCTCCAATACTGTGCTACTGGCCAAAATATCCATGCATATATATATATATGAGAATAATTCCAAAGGCACTAAAATTTACCATGCTGCTAGGCCAACTTTGCAACGCAACTGCAAAGAGCACACTGGGGAGTAATGAAGTATACATTATCTACTTTTAATAAATTTGTATCCTGCCAAATGGGGTGTATTCATGAAGGAGGTGTCTCTAAAAAATTAACTAATCCTTAATCATGTGTTTTTATTAAAACATCTCAACTTCATATTCAAATTAATATTTTCCTTAACATCTCCCAAAATATCAAGAATTTGAAGAAATTGATAGTGTAACTACTGTATGTAGAAATGGTTCATTTTTGTCTTAATTCTGGTACTGTGTATTATGCCAAATTCTCAAAAAGAGACCTTAGTATCTCTCCACACTTCATATTTATTATCTTCTCGTCATTTAAAAGCCATTACAGTTTGGCTCATAAAGGTACTAATTATTGTACAGATTTATGACTTCCAGGCACTGTGTTATTGTATCCTTTGGGATTGGGATGTTGGCATTGGAGCATTTTCGGTTTCTACTGACAGACCTGAAGACAGAAAACAGAGCACTCAGCACCTGCTTCCAATTCAATAGGTCTACACTCAATTTATCATGAAAGAGAGAAATTGATTTAAAATGAGCAGCAGGTTGTAAATATTGTGCAAATTTAATAAACCTAAAACACCTGTACGCACACACCTTATGTCAGTAAATATTATGTTCATAAGGCAATTCAAACAATTTCATTGGGCATCAACATAATAACCATTCCCTCTTGCAGTCACCCAAATTAGCCTGTTCTCATGAACAGTTGTGGTAGAGAGATGTAGCATACATGAAACTCATAGGAGAAATTACCAGAACCATTTAATTAACTTATGAGATTGTTCCCTGAAAATAAATTACTTTCCATCACATTCTCATTATTAAAGTTGGCTTGGATTTTTTAAAAGGCTCTAGACCATGTTAGTTAAAATGTTGCTGCCAGGACAGGTACTTAAATTGGAAAATAGAGTGTAACATGTACATCTTAAAGATCTAATTTTTTGAGAGACCCAAGCTTAAATAAAACTGATTATGTCCCAGAAAAAATGCCCCAGAGTCCCTAGTGTTCAGCCCACTGTAGCTGTTCAGCTACACTGGTAAGAACAGCTAGGTTTCTAAAAGTGCTCTTTGGTTCAGACTGAAAACAGTCACTCATCACTGCCATTAATGAGCTGGGCAAGTGGATCCGCACAGGCTGTTCAGTAATTCATCCTACTTAATAATTAGACTCAACTATTGCAGACCATTTTGATAACCATCCAGAGATTGGAGAGGCAGCAGTCACCTATGGACGTGTTCAGACTATTGATGACTACGGATTCCTGCAGTCTTTTCTAATATTAATCTCTATCCTTCATTGATTTAGCATTTATTCTGTAAAACACATTTCACTAAAATGATCGCCTTGACACTACATACCTTGTCTGATGAAAAAAATGCAGGTAACTACGCATAGCTGTTTATAACAGTCAAACAGACTTCTGTGCGCTTTCATTCAACAAGAAACAAGTATGACAAATACTGTATGTCAAGTATGACAAATACTATGAAAGAACATCAGTCTGCTTCCTGTGACATAATTTTATAGTTGACAATTGTTGCAAGAAAACAGCTTAAAATGACCAGCATTGAATGTAGCCCTTTCATCTCTGTCAGGGCAATTCTTGTAGCACTGCCAGGGCATGGATCATAATCTACACTCATATAGTGAATCTACACATTTTATATAGTGTTTTTTATTGAAGATATATTCAAAGTAAATATATATAAGGAAGTACCTTCAACAGACTCACAGATGATTATAACATGTTGGATAAAAAATGTTAAACCAGTGTTAAATTGCACAAACAGAAACTTAAAGAGGATTATTCTAACTCTTCTCACTCCAAATGAGCTTTAAGACTTATAGTACTGCATGATTAAAATTGCATGTAATTGCACCTGTTGTAAATTTTCAATGTGAACAAGAATGATTTATATTCTAAATGCTTTTCATAATGGGGTATTTCTTACTTGCTTGTTCCAAGACCTATTTTTAATTCACTGTTGTCACTATTTAGTCTCCATCTTTCAACTTTGATTATACTTTATAAAGATAAGCATCACATTAGAAATCCAATATAGTTTAGTATCAGTAATTTGAAACAGAAGTAAATAAGCATCTGTTCTGCAAGGAACAGGAAATTCATATTCTCTCCATTTAGGAACCACTAAAAAAAAACATTCGCCTTTGTCTCTGATAAGCTTGCTTAGCTTTCATGGGTCTTTGGGTTTCTTTCAAAGCATTCAACCATGAAACGTTTAAAAAGGGCTTCATAACATGTCTGTGTATATAGAAGTATAAAAAATAAACCTTTTTAAGTATGCACAGAACACCTGAGTCAACAGAATGACAGGAATGAACCTGTGCTGCTTAATACATCATGCATTGCCTGGAACATAATTGACCGCAAATTCAATACCTCTGCTAAAACAATGTAATAGGTACTATTTGGTACACTGGTACTTGTTGAACAAGCCTTTACAGCTCCTTGTAATTGAGCTGTCACTGCGAATACAGAATCTATTAAAATTATGGTTATTCCATACTTACAGTAATGACTTGCTTTTGCTTTAATGAACAGCACATACCAACAAGGCCAGCACTCACCCCATCTGGAAAGCACCTTTTTTCACCACATAATGCCACACAGAGGTGTAGTTCACTTTAGATGAAGGTTATTTTCCTAGTGACAGTTAGATCTCTGCAGTTAATATCTGCAAGGATAACCATCAGTAACATCCACATCTGTTCCCCCATCCCAAGCTAATAGCACCTTTAACTGCTCCTCATTTGAAATCCTCAGGCTTTATTCATTTACCTTATTCATTTACATGAAGCAACCCCTGCAACAACATACAAAGTCAAAGATGTTCTCTCCATAGGCAACACATCTTTCACCTCACTATTCTCTTGATGCTGGAGAAGATTTATTAAATATTTCTCAAACACCATAAAGGATTGAATTATGAGCAGATGTTCTTAAATATGTCTTGCTTTACAAGTAGCACTTGACTGACACTTTATTATAAATCACACTTCCCCAGTAAGGAGGAATGTGCAATTTATTAGAAAGGAGAGGGTTTTCTAAAGCTGGTGCAGCCTTTTTATGCCCCATTTTAGATTTTCAAAATTGTCACTCTGCCTGAGTCATCGTTACCACCTTGCATCAGTAAGAGAAAGATGAAAAGACTAGACAGAAGCCCTTTGAGGTGTGCACAGCGAAGCTGTCAGCTTTTTTCCACACCACAATTCCAGAATACATATCCTAGCCAAGCGCTATCTTTCAGCACCAAGCCAAGAATCCCTGCTGACCGACTTGTCCCACCAGAACTCGCCCAATTGCTCACATACTATTACTACTACTGTAGTATTACTACATACTACAGGCAATTGTCAGCAAGGGAAATGCTGTGGACTGGGCACCTTGCAGCATCCTCCAGGTTGTAAGTCTGCTGCACCTCAAACAGTTTTTCTCAGACTTTTGTCAGATGAATAAAACATCAGGTTTTCTGAGCAGTTATTAGCATGAAATGCAATATACAGGACAAATACACAGCCAGAAATAAAGAAACTATTCTAGTCCTGTCTGAAGAGTGCATGTGGAAAAGACAAACAATGGGCACAAAAACAAAAACAAAACTAAAACAGATTTTAACTCAAGGGAAATACCATTTTAGTCCCTGTCTGCCTCGCAACCCAACACAGATAGCTTTTAATGAAAAGCTCAATTTAATAACATCTGTGTTAAATCTAAAAAATCTCGTCAAAATGTGACTTCTGCTGGGATATTAAGCAGGCAAAGCTCTATGGGATTCTTAAGGCCTTGTGGTGGCCCCTACAGACTTTATCTCCAGTGGCAAACAAACTCTTCTCTTTCAGTACAACCAAAACATGACAATGCTACCGTCTGGTAAACACAAAGGATATTATGAGATCAAAATTACAGCTTCGTCTTTTATGATGCCCTAAAGACAGACTCAGAAAGGGCATGTATGTAATTTCTCAGTTCCTCTGAGCAAGCCATCTGATCTTGCATTGACCTGCTCTGCATTATGCATTGATTCAATTACTAATTTGCTTCGGTAAACTATAATTTGGCCCCTCAAAAAATGCAAAAATCTGAAGGCTTTACCTGTTCTCAGGAGGGTAAAGTCATTTTCATCTTTTAGATTATCTCTCAGAATTATGATCTTTCATTTACCATAACACCCAAGTGAATTTTTTAATCTTATTATAAAGTTGTATTCAGAGGTGGTAAATACGATTCAGTAGATGCTTATGCTAATAATACAATTTTGTGTGAGCTTTTCAGGAAATTAATAGGGCTCCACAATAACACAGCACAATAAACAACTGAAGAAAAAAGAAGCTGAAAAAAGCCCAATTGCATAGTCTACAATAGATTAGTGCATTAATTCCACAGACCTGGTGCTGCACACAAGAATGTATCACAGTAGGACAGAACCAGCACACCTTTGCTCAAATGCTATTTGGTTCTCATGCAGTAATACAGTACATAAGATAACTTGGTGTGAGATCATTCAGTACCTTGTGTACAACAAACATACAGTGCATCTTTAGTTAGCACAAGGACCACTGAATTCTAGACATACTGAAGCTCAATTAAAAACATCTGATTACAAAGCACCCTATTAGATAAAGCATTACAATTGTATAATATTGATCAATTAAAGACTGGTGTTAATATTTCTGTTAGATATGTAAAGCAAGGGTTTCTAAGTAAGCATCATTGAGAAAGCAGTGCAGCCCAAATTTCTGATGGTGAATAGTCAGACCAAGTGATCAGTACTGTCTGTGTAAATATTAAAAGGTAAAGGTCCCAGCACTTTGTGACAAAATCAGATTTTAAACATCTGAGACTTACAAATTAGGAGGGAAGGGAACTTCCAAGTGAAGGGAAGGACATTCAATGGTGATAACTGATCCAGAGTTAGAAGCCATTTACAAATTGTTAACTACCTTCACAAGGACAGTTTCAATGCAGTTTCAATGCAATGTCTCTGTCTAAACCCTGGCTGAAAAGTTTCACAGAACTCCTTAAATGCAAGTCTTGGGGGATCCTGGCCAGTTTTTTAAAAGCAGCACTTTAAACCTGTACAAACATGGTCTTATGGTACAACTGAGTGACAAGTATATAGGAATAAGGTCCTGTACATGGGCAGTAGGTTTAATCTGAGCTATCAGATCCATTAGACAGGCAGACATACAGAGAATACTGTGAAGATTCATCAATCTAAACAGGCTAAGCTACATTAAATTGAGTTTTTGTGATATTCTCTGCAAAATTAGATGAATTCAATACATGAAGTCTACTGGAGGTCATAATCTGTTAAATCTTAATAGGAGGTGGATGGAATGTCAGATCTAGTAAAACAGATTTATGGTCAGAGTTCCCCAGTTTAAATGCTTGAAGACTGGATATTTGAATGCCAGAAAACTAAAATATTCTGAATGTCCATGTTTAAATGCTGGGAAGGTGATTTACTGAGAAAATCCAAAACAATTCAGATTGGGTAGAAAATCAGGAGTAATCAGTTGTGAATTACAACAAGGTTGATTTAATTTTAATTTTAATTTTCATGGGATGACAGACCTCCCTTCACAAAAGTAAAAATGGAACTCTGGCCACATGAGGCAGAACCACAGGTAGTCAAGGCATGGAATTGCTAACATTAATACACAGTGCCACCTAGTGTTACACCAAAGTTAGTCCTCCACCCTACATCATGTTTCATGATCCAAAAAGAAAATCTACTTTATGGTAAGCAATAAGCCAACTGAGAAACACAGTCTTGTTGCTTAAAAACCACATATTAAAGAGAGCTTGGACAGTGGGATATTGCCAGTTAAAACAAATGCAACTAAAGACAGTTAAAACCAATGCCTTAGACCCCAAGTGAATGCTGGCACCTATGGGATGAAATGGAACCTCTACTGAATATGTGACCAGAGCCCCTGTGCTGATATGGATATATGTGCAGAATTCATGAAGTACGACAGTGCTCAAACAACTCGCTCTGTGTGGAAGCAAAGGGTGTGAGGGGTGGCAGACTCAATAATCTCAAGGCAGAGTAAAACATTATGATTACTGGAAGGAAAATAAGCAGACTGAAGGATTAAAAAAAATAGAGGTGAACTGAAAAACAAAAACATTATTTTCCCAGTTTGGGGAAGTACAGTGTTTTCTACAGACAACAAGTAATGCCTCCTCAGACCAAGAAGCTCAAGAAAATTGTATAGTAGCAGCCAGCAAATAATTCAGCAATGGCAGTACTGTAGACGCAGGACACAGCACATAACCGGACAGTGAACCAAGGGTTGTTGCACAAAAATGGTGGGTTGAATAATGAAACAAACGGGAAAAAAACATCACAGTATCAGGGACCACACGACCAGAACCATGACTAGGAAAAAGAAGCAACGCAGCAGACCGCAACAAAATCAGGGAACTGGCAGGAACAGCAGAGACAAAGTTCCCAGCCAACCATGTCAACTACTGCAGAGCTTACCAAAGGCAGAGTCAAGAAATAACAGGTAAGAAAAAAACTGAACTAAAAAAAAAACTAAGAATAAAAATGAGCAAGAAGCAATAAACTAAAACGACTGATGGAGAGCGTCTATGAAGTTGAGAAATAAGTGGAAACAGGCAGAAAGTGGGCAGCAAGGAATGCCAGCTATGAAATCTATGATAAATATGCCAAAATAAAGCAGTGTGATGAGAGAACAGGTGTTTTATAAACATAATTCATGTCAGAGGATACATTGCAAACTTTGAAACCTTATAAGACATTATTCTCAATTAATGACAAAAATTCAACTTTTAACAAGTCTACGGCTGGGAAGTTTGGGGAGAAGTAGGAAAAAAAAATGACAAGAGGAGATGTGCATTAATTTCCAACTAGTGAGAGGTGAATGATCTGAATTGGTGTTAAAACCACGAAGCACTTGTTTAATAGCTGCAATTACTACAGTGTACCTTACATACAGTACTGTAGTTATATGGATTTTAGGACATTATATTCAGTTAATAGGTGACAAACTGTCTGAATACTGCAGTATGTCACTTCCATTACTTTCACACAATCCCTCAATTAGGCCTTAGGAGCCAGCAGAGTAGCAGGCCTTACCTCCCACGATATAACCAGTTCATGTCGCCGGCCACTTCCTCCACTGACATTTGCTGGGGCCACGGAGGGAACTGCAGAGAGATAAAAGGACGTCTCTAACACGTGATGTCTTCGCTATCATTTATACTCTATTAGCTTTATTATTCAGGCATTATGAAATTAAAACAGAAAATGTCTGTAGGTCAGGATTTCACTATTCCAAAACTACTTATGCAAATAAAATGCTATTTTTTAAGAACATGCAAACTTGCTAAGCCCATAGGATGGATATGGAAAATCAAAGACACAGTATTTCACCAGACTTGACAATTGTCCGAAACGGAGTTTAAAACAAGTAGAAATGAGACATAGTTTTACTTGTTGAAATTGTTGTATTGTTGTATTACTTGTTGAAAAAAGGTAGAAAAGTAGACACAGAAACCAGTCATTTTCCAAATAAGGTCTTTGGAAATTTTGTCACATTAAAGTGCCTAAATCTCCTCTGCAGCAGGTAAATGAGACATTCTGATTAAATGCAGTGCACTGCCAGGAGTGTGTTCTCCGGGAATAGATAATGTAACTGGTTCTAAGCCTCAGGGTGAAAGATGCCTGGCTGTGTTAACTCAAACACCCAACATGTTTGAATTCATGTTACCAGCTCATTTTCATCTTCTCAACCAATTAAAAATTTAATAGCGGTAGATAGCTGGGGTATAATGTGAAGAGAGGATGGCAGAGCAGGACTTTTTCAGAAGTTCTATTGAAAAAAGAGAGAACTGAATAATTGCTTTGGCAACTACTGTATATTAAAACTGATCGAAACAAACTATAGTCACTGTATACTGCAGATTATCTTACATTTTCAATCAAAATCAACCAATCAAAGGCACCACCAAACAGAAAAGAAATTTCCTTCTAAATTGCCTTCATTTTGCCCATTCTTTCAGCTGCTATTGCTGCTTTTCAGGTGCTCATTTTTTTCTACATATAATTCTTGTCTCTGTGAAGAGCATGTGTGAAAGCTGATGGAGGTCAGATGATAAAAACATCTTTCTGACAATAGCTTTATCTCATGAAATACTGTAATCAAACACATAGACCTTACAAGATGGGCTATTTCTGAATGCTCTGATGTTACTCCTGAACACAGAAATGAATAAACTAGATTGAATATTTGTATCTTGCACAAGAAAATTAAAAACATTGTTTGGCTAAAAGGCTGAAGGATGTTTTTAAGATTCAAATACAGAGACTGAGCTACAGAAATCAATACTCTGGGACATTAGAAATGTATACTCTATATAATCATAAGAGATAATCTACTTCATCCTGTCCTCCATCTGATGCTACAGTACTTCTTGCTTTAAGCACTGTGGGGCTTGCAAAGTGAAAATTATTGAGGACTTGTGCTTGGCTGCCTGTGCCAGTTCACTGACAGCTCGTGCTTCCAAACAGATGAATACGAAATGAAACGTTAAGATTTCAAAATTCTGACCGAAACTGTGATATCACAGAAAGATGCATACAGACCACAATCTGCTATGAATGACAAATTGCAAAGATCCTGCGCCACCTGTAGCTAAGTAGTACTTTTTCATCATACTCTTTTGTAGCATCTGTTTAACCAATTAGTGAAATACCAAAATACACAGAAGTTCATCTTCCATACAGAATAGTTACATATGCTGCATGGATAATTGTGTTTTTCTTTTAAAGTAATTTACAGTAGGTGGCTCATTAAAGATTTAAAGATAAAGAATATAATTTCATTTTACATATGTTCAGAGTTCATCTGTACTTGAAGCTGTTTTATGCACAATGATGAAACATTCACATTTATTTTTTTAAATTAAAAACAAAGGGAACATCAGATCAATTAAAATATATTGCACATGACAGTAGGTTGCATTAACTGAACAGCTGGATGTGTTACATGCAAACTTTTTAAATTAGCACTGAAGTAATTGGTTAAAAATGATAAATACTTTTCAGTTTACATTCATTCTAAAATAATTTGGAGGAACATTCTTGTAAACTTGTTACAAGTGAAATAATAAATATTAAATCTCAACAAGAAACAAAAGGCATGGTGAAAATTCCCTTAAACTCCTTTAAGGGAATGAATGCTGAACTGACTACTAAAACAGAATGATAGCAAAAATAAATATTAAACACATCTTAAGGATAAATGGGCTGATTTCAAAAGAAAGGGAAAAACTACAGAGGAAAATGAATATGTACAAAAAGCTTTGATAGCATGTGACAGTATTATGTCCCAGGATACATCAGTTCAGTGATAATTATTTAAATTAAACCGGGCAGGTGTTAAATATTAATGCCAACCGTTCTGTGCAAACCCAGCCAAACATTAATGTTGCTGAATTTGCTTGTGTGCTTAGAGGCATTTATCTGATAGATTCCACTCATATCTATTGATTAAACAACACTAGGAGTTCCATTTGTAACTCTGTAATTACATTTAACAGCTATTCATAACACTTTCCATTACACGTGTAATTCCAATCTTAGTCTTACTTAAAACACTCTACTAAAATTATTGCCATTAGGCTACCTGCATAGATAATTGTTTTACATAACTACTGTAGATTCTGTCAAGTCATTCCTAAACACAAAGGTCATTATAGCTATTTAAATGTGCATAATAGATAGTTACAATGCTCTTGCAAAGAATATAAGTTTTGATATTCATTTTGAACAATGTCCATAATTATGTACACTTTAACAATGCACACTATGTATACTAGGTATTTTAGGATGCAAATGCACTCTCACATTGATTAGGAAAAATGTGTGGAACAGTAATACATATGTTCCAAAATTTTGGAATTATATTTTCTATTACATACTGAATAAACTGAGAACTCGCAGACATGCTTTTTAACACATCCACCTGTCGGAGACAGTAAACTTTTTACATGTTAGCATAACCACATTACAGGACATTTAGCTCCAACTGGAAGAATATTGCATCTCACAGTGATGTAAGGGCACCCTTACAAATGGTCTCAGGTCACAGGCACCACCGTTTCGCTGACAGGTCCTGGCCACTCTACACACACAAGGCTGCTTTGTTAAAATCTGAGAGTTTAACTAAGAGTTAACAGACTATGACCTTCAGTAGATTGAATTAACTTTGTAAATAATTGCACATCACCTTTCAGGGTAATCTGTGTCACATTTGACTCATGACATAACCCAGGCTTAAATTGATGACATCTTGGCCATACAGCTCAAACTGTACTATCAGCAGGAGGTGCTACAACTTGAGCCACTTGGAAGCCCAATAAAATTGTCTGATACAGTTTCTAGTACATTGCTACATATTAATACAGTATGTAACAATATAGGCCACATGTCTTTTTTATGTGAACTGGTAAATACCTGCTTCTTTCGTCCTGACCACCCTAGAAGGGGCACTAGGGTCTCCTGTTCCAATGGCATTGGTTGCAACCACCCTGAATTCATATTCAACCCAAGGGTTCAGCTCGATAGCCATGGCAGATTCCATTTCACCAGTCACGGGATCAGGATCTGTGTAAAAAAACAACTAGAAAATCACCCCTCCAAGTCTATGTACCAAAATTAAGTACTAATTAAGTACCAAAGGGTGTCCTTAAACAAGACTCATCCTCCAAGATTATGAACTTCAACCTTCAGTTTCTAGCTTCAGGGCCACTGTGCAACCTGTTCCCAGATATTACTTGTCCGTGAAACACCTGGTGTTCTATTCATAAAGACCTTACCTAAGATACATCTGAAGACACCGTTTAAATAGTGCATCAGTTTATTTTTTTTCAGAATAATTAGCCCTTTTTTGTTTGTCTTTTTGTTTGTCTCAGAATAAATGTCAAATGTTCCACATAAATGTAAAAGTTCAGTTGACACAATACAAAGGCTTTTTTCTTTTTCCTGGGACTTACTGATACAGGCATTTTCACACCACAATTAACGGACAACAATTTAATACATTCTGGTATTGTCCCCCTGTTTGTGAATAAAAGTCCCAAATAACCTCATTGTTATCTGACATCACCTGCTAGAATATTCCAACAGATCCAGATGCACTTTGTCTCATTGTTGAAATCAACAAACTCAAGTACAGTACAAGTACAAGTCAAATTTTCTGTTATTATCACCCATATAGTAAATACGGTTATTCTGCTTAATTGGAAGGACAGAAGCAAAATGACTTTTTCTCAATGGTTCTCATTAATGGTAGACAACCAAAAGCTGAGCAAATCAATAATGTCACTCAAAAACCAAGAACTTGAATTTAAAACAATTTGGAACCACTTCATTGGCTTCCTCCAATTAGGTTGAATTGTTATCTAACTTCATTTCCATGCATCGGTTAATTACCCATTAGTATTTATTAACTTTATTAGTCATGTATTTATTAACTTTATCAACTTTGTCAGCCCCTCTACTACTCCCTTGCTATGACACACACTATTTAAGCAGTTTATATTTGTATTTCTCAGTACATTGGGTTAATTTCCATCTATTTTATTAAGCTCAATGTTTGTTCTTTATTGGTGTGTAATATGCAGTACAAGTACTTAGGTATATATTCTGTATTTAAATGTTTAAATAAATTAAAACCATAAACAAAAAAGAGAACTGAAAGCCCTGTCCCTGTGAGGTTTAAGGCATGCACAGGAAACAGAGAAGAATAGCTTATACTAGACTACATTTTTCTAGCATTGCAGAGTCTTTGTCCGCAGAAAGAATAGAGAAAAAGTTTATTTTAATTAACAGTACTTCTACACTGTTTTATATAACTGACATTAATTATGCTTTTTTGTCTTGACCAATTGATTCTACGACTCCTTTCAACTGCAGACACCATATTTATTTATACATCCAGGCCTTGTTCCTGTCTTGTACAAGTGGAGCTCTTCTGTGTAATTCTAGCATTAGTCCACCACATGCCATAGTACTAAGTGGATTCATTTTAATGGTTCATCATGTGTAATAAAAGATGACATACTGTACAGACTCATTAGGAATTGTCTGGTACTGCATATTTTAAAAAGCTGTACGAAAAGTTTCCAAACGGAAGGGCAAAAATGCATTATTTAGTAAAGTCATCAAGTGAGACTCAAAAAACATAATTCTTTTCAACCTCTGATGAAATCCATAATCATATGTTTGAAAATATATTCTAAAATGCTGAAATACAGTAGGTAAGGCAATTCTGTGATACAATATACAGTAAACTGTATGCCTATGCAGGTCTTACACAGTGGTTAATCCTACAGTACATACAGTATACTGTACATGGCATAAAACTGTTCTTGACACCTTCAGATTATGTATTTAACATTTTGCTTTGTTTGATGTGAGATGTGTGAAGAACATCAAAATTTTATCAACTGATGCATCTTATTAAAGCATCTTGTGAGTCTGCCACTTATTCAAATTAATTTGACTATTCAAATATCAACATGAAAACATTGTTTACAGACACTAACCTAAAACCTTTTCACTTGTTATGTAGGCTCCATATGCTAAACTCCTTCAGAAGCTTGTTATGGCATATGGTGTTGAAATCCAAATTGGATTTGATTAAATTTGAAGTAATTACATAATTGGGTTGAGTGTAGAAAATGAAGAAGGTGGATCATTCACCTAGAGAAACAAATCATTGCACCCCAAGAATGTCCCATTGCCAATATCCGACTAAAAGTATTTAAACAAATTATGTATGCTTTTAAATTTCATAGTCTCTACTCATTAAATGCTTAAAATGGATGGCATTGCTGTCATGCCACAGAGAAATTAAGTTATTAATCTTCTGACAGTCCATAAATCGTATGTTGTTTTAAAATCCTCATTCTAATGATAAAAACAAACTAATTAGGGGAAAAACCGTCAAGTTAGTTCTACAAAGAATTAAAGTCACTGACATTTACTATGATCACTGAAGAAGCTTAATTGAGCTCTTTTAAAATATCACTTGTACAATAATACAGCAGGAACTTTGAGTAAGACCTAAATTATTGCACAAGGTGATGCAACATTGGAAGATGAATTTCTAAGATTAATTTATTTTGTACATTGGTAGATTTTTAAGTGCCCAATTAAGCCTAATCAAAAGGGTAACCCTTCTATAAGCCACGAATCTAATTATACCTGAGTAATGAACAAAGAGCCCAGCTGTATTTCTGAGCCACACTGAAACACTGAGTCCACAAACTAGGCTTCAACATACCCTAAGAGGCCATGCTTCTCACCATGACATTTCCCTTGTGCCAGCCAAACTGTCTATACCCGAAGGCTGTGTTTCTCTGTATTGATTACCTGTTTTAACCGTCTGCCATCCTAATGAAAACGGGCTCCTTGCCTGCAAATTATAGGTAGTGATTGGACTGTGATTATCCACTCCACGACTCCAGGATAGTGTTGCTGTGACATCAGTAATTTCCTCCACTATCACAATTCCTGGAGGCCCTGGGGGACCTAGAAGTGAATAACAATACGGACAAAGAAAAGCAATTTTCATTTTTTTTTTTATTCTCAGCTGCTTAGTCACCAAGTCAAGGGCTTATGGTGAACAGAAGGAGCTCAAATATACTGTTTTTTTTTCCTTTCCTGTAATCCAAGAATACGTCTCAAGTCTTTGTCGATTGAGCTTTTTCTGAGATCTGATCACATACTGTACATCACAAGTGAGTCTCCTGAAAGGAGCAGCCACCTGATCCCAAGGACCTGCCTTTCCCAGGCGAGACTCAAAAAGCAAAATGTTAGCATGAGTTATATTTTTCCCCCAAACCACTCACTGTAAATAACTAGTTTTGTGTCATTTTCTGCTTTAAATGTATTCAAGTTGGAGTTGCTCACAGGGTGGGCAGTGTGGGGGCATAGTGGTTAATGTAACCTTCACAGCTCATGGGTTCTGCATTCAATTCCGGTTACAGTAGGTGTGCATTCTGCAAATTCTCCACATGGCTCCACAGAGTTACTGTACAGTAGGTGCTCCAGTTTCCTCTCACACTCTGAAAACATACTAACTGGGCTGAATTGTGTCTCTCAATTGGCTACTGTGTTTTGTGTTCCCTGTGAGGGACTGGTGTATTGGGGTTTGTGAAAGGTCAGACATGTGCTCACTGCATCACTGTATTGAAATAAGTGGTTATTGAGAACAGATTCAGAGTCCATATCACTGCCTTTCATTCATATACAGTATATTTTTGGTTTTACCCGTACCAGTTTAACCACAAATGGGTATTCACAAAACATGTATTCCTATACACTCTGTATTTTAAAAGTTTAAAATGTATTTCAACAGATAATATACTGTTAGAACGATACAATGATATGTCAAAGAATTCATCCAAATGGAAGACTTCACCTCTGAAGGGAAAAAACAAACAAACATTCTGGTTTTCTTAAAAAGCAGGAAGCCAAGTACGCCATCTATGCTGCGAGTCATCCAAAATACTACAGCAGACCTTACACTGTTTAAAACCACTGAACATATGTTTATTTCAGCCATCTGAAAGAAATGAACCCATAGAAATCTGTCACCACTGCAAATATGCAATGGCTCTAGAGGAAACAGCTGCAAATGAAAGGCAGACAGCTGGTACACCTAATGAAAACCAATGCACTGTGACCGCTGGAAAGGAAAGGTACTGTGCACTTGGTCTACACTTGCATTAAGCTACATTAATACTGTATCTGTTGCAGATCACAATGGGGAGAAGCAAAGTAAAGCCTTGTTCTTTGCCAAACTGTGTGCAAAAGCCTTCAGTACTCCATGTGCAATTTCACTGTATTAAGAAATACAAAAGCAGGCTAATGAATTCAGAAATAATGTTTACACAACTCTTTATAAAATATAAGATGGAATATTGTTCCCAAGCAACAGCCTAGTGATAGAAATTTTGGTTTCAAATCTCAGCCAGAGAGCTCTGAGAAATTGTTCTGTAAGACTCTGTTGAACAACTCCCACATAAAACTGTATGACTAACTATGCAGTCTGACTATCCTAATGGTTAGGTGTATATTCACTCTTTTTCATCCTGAGGCAGTCTTTTCAAGTGACCCTTATTTGGAATGTTGGGTGGTCCTTCAAGGAAGGAATATGATGAAAGAAAACCACCAAACTATGTAATGGCAGCAACAAGCTCACCTCTGACAAGCAGTTCAGCTTCTGTGTACAAGGTATCGGCACTGGTTTGAGCCCGGCACCCATATTTCCCAGCATGCTTCAGGAGGATGTTTCTAATCATTAGATCTGCTGTGGATGTCTGCTACAAATTGAGAAAGAGAGGAAAAAAAACATGGCCAATGCTGGGACCTTGCCTTCTGGGTAATACAACATTTTAAAAAAAGAAACCATTAGAAGGTACAGTCTAAGAAATCCTACCCAATTTTGATACAATTTTGTTAATTTAAAATAAGAAATACCACAGGCTGTATTAGGAATAATTCATTATCTACAGCAACTGTTTAGCACAGCAAATTATTAAAATTGTGTGCTATTTTATGTATGAACTACTGTGTCTACACAAATTCATTAATTTACAAAATACAAAATTTGACTATATTCTGTGACAAACGTAGGTATGAAGTATCTTTTTAAGAAACTTAATTTGGATCAAACAACCAAACTGAAGCTGGAGGGGCCAAATAGCTTCTTCTTGCTTGCGGCTTTTCTGTTGTCTTATCCTCAATGACAGATGACTGCCTAGAAATATCCAGCTGTGGCACAGAATTGATTGAGGTTTTTAAAGGATTGGTTAGGGTAAGCCTGACTGCAGCTCATAGACAGAGAGTCTATGTCAAGATACCTCCAAGCTCTCTGTCAAGACATCTCCATGTTAACATCTGTATGTATTTTTACTTTGGGTTGGCAGTTCAAAAAGAAGCTTTCAGCTTATTGGCTGTACAGTGTGAGAGGACATCTGTGTATGCAGACCTGTAAGTGCAATGAAGTGCTGGATTGAACACTGAATGCCAGATCACAGTTTGGATATTATATGAAAAAAACTAAGCTGACCAACAATTTTCATGGCTAGCAAACCTTGTTTTCCATCTCTTGCTATTCCCCCTCACCTCTGCTCAACACATCTGCTTGTTCTTCCACGTTGCTGAATTGCTTCCAGGCAAGGGAGATAGAAGGTTAGCTTCTAAATGGATCTATCACTTTAAATCTCCAAAGGTTCTGTAGCCCTATTTCCTTGTTAGTAGAGGTCAACTGGAGACAGAGAATGGCTTAAGATAACACGTTACTAATGGTAACCTTTGTGCTGTGGAAAACCACAAAGAAGAAAGCCGCAATTTAATTATGCTTTCCAAAGTTCTGTTTGCAGGACTTAAGGAAGCAAAATGAAATCAATTTTCTTAAGGGATTATACTAAATTAATTTCTCCAGATGTAATAGGGTTCAGATTGAAAACTAAAGGTGGGATTTTTTGTGTAGGTTTTGTGAAGTATTGTGATGCAGCGAAAGCATTGTTTTAGAGCTGTACTAACTATACACATTACTGTCCCTAAAACAGATGGTAAATACCCCATGGTCACATACTGTACATAAGTTCACCCATTAGCTGACAAATTGCCCTTTTGGGCACATAAGACCTTCTGATCTGTTAATAGAGCATTTTATAGTACTATCCACTACTCATCTCATTTGTATGCCTAACCTGTCAAACTTTTAAAATTAACTATGTTTTGCTTTAAAACCTATCAACACTGTTACTAGGGCTTCTTCCAACAGATTCTCCCCCTAATCTCTGAAGCAGAAGTCTGCTCTACTCTGTGAGACAGATGGAAAGTCTGCTATCTCACTGTACTTATAGCAGTAGTGAACTCAAAGGTGACATCTTGCTCTCTGTTTGCTACCCTTGCTGTGTCAAGGACCTCAACCATTTATTACAACTCTTACTTATTACAGTCTTATTACAAATCTTATTTCGATGGATTACTATACCTTTCTTCTAAAACTAATATGAATATCCCCATGTTGCCAGCTGTTTTCTGCTGTAGATGGTGCCCTCTACTCTGCACCCCTTTATTCTTTTCATCCTGCTTATTTGTGTTTGCTTAACTGTGTGTCTCTCCCTAGCACCTACCATCAAATGCATGATCTATTTTCCCCTGGAATCAGAGGCTATTTTCTGATATGCTGCTTAACAAGGTTTCAAGTATCTCCATCTGAACAAATGCATTCAATCTTGAACACAATCCTACTGGGTGAATGCAGCGCTTAGAGAGTACATTGTGCTGACTGTCAAGGCTGTTTGGTTGTGACATAACCTATAGACAGGGCTCTGCAAAATAGGCAAGAAGAAAGTTTACAGCTTAGAAAAGCTGCAGTAACCTTGAAGCCTAAGCATATTATTTTTCATGTAAGAAAAGGCCTTAGCTTACGGTAAACAAGATTTATTCTAGAAGGAGTCGTTTATTGTTCATGTGGTTATGACCACCTTCAGGTGAATGCTGTTATTATTTTGTTCTTCTCAATAATTCATATCATACAGGAGATCAGAAGATTTTTTTGAATGCTGTTTCTTTGCACAAAAAAACTTTTGTGTTCAGTTTTGTACCTCCTCTTTTCTAGTGCTGCAGTATAAATGTTTTCTAATTGAAGAAAAGCACAGTACTGTGGAACAGATCAGGAGGAACTAAAATAATTTAAACCTGGAGTTAGGCCAAATTAATTTTTAAGTTTAAAAGAACTGAATTTATGTATTCTTTTTTAAGATGAATGGCTGTTCATGATGTGCTATGCTATATAGTGTTTCATAATGAAGAAATATACACCACATTTCCAAATCAACACATAAAAGAATGCATTTGAATGCAATTTAAACATTTTCTATAATCAAAATAACCAGTTTTGGCAACAAAAGATAAAAGGCAGCAAGATAATCTTCTTTGATGGTTTGTGCTATCTTGTCAAATGGCTTCAACTTAGCCAAGTTTCATTTTATATTCTTTATTTTGACTACAACTACCAAAATAGTTCAATATAGCCTCTCTTTCAAAGAGCAAATTTACTGAGAAATTCCAAACATGCATTTCAAATTAATTGTGAGTTAATTCCATCTTCACCTCACTCAACTATTATCTTCATTCATAAAACAGTGCACTTGCACATTATTTAAATTCTTATCACTTCCGTCCCCTCAAAATAATTAATATTACCAGGGTTAATACAGTCTATGAACCCTACAGCATTTAAGGTTTTTCAAAATACTTTTGGACTACCAATTATCACTGCTTTGTGGCTGCTCCTTAGCTGTGTGTTAATAAAAGTATCATAGATCTTGCCTGACAGGATTACCAAACAACCAACAGGTAGATGAAAGAAGCCTATTTTTTATCTGAATGCACCACTTATGAGAAACAATGAAGTATTGGTAAGGAAAAACACATTTTTATGGAGTTCAGAGAAGGAGTATGTACAGTAACGTACTCAATATACCTTTGCCTGTTATGATCTTATTGAAACTCAAATAGAACTTGAGGGTGGTGTTTAATCATGATAATAAAAAGTTTTTCAGTAGACCTTTTAAACTGCTCTTTTAATTGAGAGAATTCCACCTTTTGTCAACCCATCATTTAACAAACAAGACTTGAAGTGGCATAAAAAATTTGGTAAAAGTTCACATTAGCATAAACCGTTTGTTGCTTGAACTGAAACTGTGTCACTTTAGATCTGTAAGTGTTACCAGGAAATTAATAGAACAAATAGAATCATAAACAACAGTAAATAGCATTTATAACATGGGAATGTTTTTCAGAAGGTATTGTATGGAAGAAATATAATCTTACAAATACTTACAAATACAATATAACTCTTGTATTAAACAGTGGTATTTGTAAGCCTTGATAAACATTATCAATGGTGCTCTAATTGTAGAGGGACCTGAGGTCTGATAAACTAGAAAAGGACTGATTCTCATTTAAGGTTCAAAGAAAAGGCTAATTGATAAAAACATTTTTTATGTAAATACTTACTGTCCTGATGTATTCGAAATGTCCACCTTCTTGCTTAAAATTGATGAGCTGCCTGTTCAATAACCAAAGGAATGACACTTCCAAAGTAGGATCATGGAAGGCCCTGCAGCTGAGAACAACGCTTTCTCCCACCGTGACCTCCACTCGGACAGGACTGAGCTCCAGGCGCATGGCTTCTGGAAATATGACAAAGCCCAACACAGGTCCCTAGTATTATCATTGTTCCTTAACATCACATGCACTCTTGGTAATATCACATAACATCACATGCTAAAATCTCTTAGCTCATTATAATAAAAAAAAAGCTCATGTACAATTTTGCACATCTGTTTCCAAAATGGATAGATCTCAGCAATGTCTTGTTAGTTATTTACACTCATTTTTACTGTTGTAGTTACGGTATTTATATTACTCAAGATTTTGGAATTTTCATTCATCATTTGAAGCGTGCAGTGTAACGACTATTAAACGTCAATCATTGATTTATGCCATCATGACCAGATACAGACACCACTCCAAATGATAGAATTGTAATCATAAAATGTAAACATAGAGCAGCCAAGTGAAGACAGCAAACTAACAATACTGAATATCGCTCCGTTGTTAATAAATTGAATTAATACAATATGAAATATCAGTATAAGTACTTTTTTTTACCTTTAACCCACACAGTGGTTGTCATTTCAGCACCACCAAAGCGATTCTCTGCATGGCACACATAGCTGCCTTCATCAGATTTAGTCGAATTCACAATCCTGAGAGTGTTATTCCTCAGAATAGTGATCCTTTGAAAAAGAATCAATAGCAATCCTAAATGATAAATGTACACATAAAAGTTCTAATCTGAATTCTTAAATGGGCATTCACAAAGTGCAATCTTGTCTTCACAGTAAGCAATGGATCAGAAATGGCATACGCACGACTGAACTTATTTTTGCAAATATTTTTCACATACATAGTGAAGATGTTCCAAAGCATTATATCTGCATGTGTGTCCACTTTCTTGTGTGTGTCTCACTTGGCTGAGTGTGTGACAGTTACATAACTTCTGGTCCCACACAAACAAATCGGCTGAGTGTGGAGATCTCTGGTCTCCCATCGAAGATACCTTCACCCTGCAGTGTGGCTTACTTTGACGTCCGATATAGTATTTAAATAAAATTAGAGCACAAAATGTTGTTATGCTTTCTTATCCTTTTTGGTAGAGCACACATAAAATAGAAGTAACTTTCTCAGCTGCACACTGGTTTTATTCTAAATGGGGCTCAACAGTGCATTACAGCCATGTCCTGACTGTGCTTTTGTTGCTGTTTAATCCTTTGTTTGAATTGGCAGCTCCAGCGACTGGAAAGAATGAAGACACCCAAAAGACAATAACAGGGCAATAAGAAAAGCAACTGTAGAAACAAGACACAGACTGAAATAGTCCAAGGTTATAAGAATTATTAATGAACTTAATTGACATTTTTAGCTATAGCTCAAATTAATGAGTATAAGCACAGAAAAGTGATAGAACAATATGTGCACTATCCACTGTTCAGTTCGGTATTTATTTAGTATTTTACTGTACTTGTACACATAATAGCTTTTCTAATATTCCTGCTTGACCATCTAATTCTGTGTAACCAACTTAAGAGGTTTTAAGTGAATGTCTGGAAATGTTTACTTTATTTAAATATGAAGGAGGGGGGGGGGGGCATCTTGCAGAATTAAGTGTACGAAATGATCACTTTTTGTACCACAGGTCTTGAAACTAATGTGATTCAGTATGTCCTTCAGAATAAATGATACTCTGTCAGCTGTTTACAAAATCCCTATTTATTGTATTTACCAGACTGGCAGAACAGTTTCTACTATGCCCCTAAAAATAATGGGATTATGTCAATACAGTAATAGAATCTCATTACATCATGCTGAAAGTGCTGAGGTGCTAGCAGAATCATTTAGCGTTTTGCCAAGTAATTGAGCTATCCAGTCACGCAAGAAGATAAGTCAGTCAGCACACATTCGTCTTCCTTCATTCTAAAGGTGTGAAAAAAATGCTGGTATTGGTAGTGGTGTTTGTATATTGCTTCTCTGTTTTGCATCTCTCCTGCTTCTATCTTTCTTCTGTCTATGCTTTAGACTGTTCTGCACTTACAAAAACAAGCAGGAAGGCATTGAAATTATGAAGTTCTGGATCAGACAAACTGGGTCAATATTATCTCATTAAAAAAGTAAGAGCAATGATCTTCTTATCAGTTTTCCAATACTGGTTGCTTTAAGATAGTTTCCTTATCTTTTGCTGAAGGAGACCGCTGAGGAAACAGAAAAACAATAATAGAACATTCTACAGCTTCAGTTCTATAGAAACCATATATTAAAAATAAGCCTTTTCTTCCTATATAGAAAGTCTAGGTTAACTACAGCCTGATGTGGGGGACATACCTGTACATAGACAGAATGATATTCTCCACTCCAAAAGCACATTCATTACAGTATGGAGCACATTCATTCTTATACAGACAATTAAATGGTCTTAATTTGATTACCCCAATTGTGTCAGTAGTGTGTTTTCAAAGATTTCAACCATTTATTTTTTCTTATTTTGAATGGAAATAAAGGAAAGGAAAAATAGTACACATATCATAATAAACACTGGCAAGCAAGTGACAGTACATGAAAGTCAGGAAGTCTTTAGATCAAAGGACAATCATGTATTTGTCTGAACTTTAAACAAACTAGTCAATGTCTTGACTAAATTGTGCAAATAAATGGAAATACTGTATTGTTTTTGAATGACAAAACCACATTTTTCCTTTAGGACTATAAATACAGTACATACTCTTTTCACATGAAATTATATATTGAAATATGCTTCAAAATATATGATTATCTGAAGGATATAGAATGTGGTAATTTATCTGTGTATATGGTTCTTCTTAATTAAAAACAGAACAGAGACCTAGACATTAAAAGAGCATTATTTTAAATGTTCAAAGAACAAATTTTGTAAAAGACAAGAAAAAGAAAAAAAGTCATATTCTCTGAATTAATGGCATGTTCCACCACACATATTCGAGATACAGCAGGGAATTTTGAAATCTATTTTGAATGCTTTGTGTTCCACATTTGAATTAAAATCTTCAGACAGTGCTTGCATCAATAAGCTTGTCAGACATCCAGAAGAAGAAAACACTATCGCAAGAAGACATTTTAATGAAAGGGGAGTCATGATTATATCTGACACTGGAAAATATATTAATATAGTAGACAGATGAGGGTTAAGTCCTTCGATCTTTTCTTCTGTCACAGAACTGAAATGTTTTTTTTTATTAAATTAATGCATACATGAATCATTCTGTTTTTAATCAATTGCAACTAAAGCCCAGTATTTTTAGTTTGAATAAAGACTGGAACTTGTGTCAATGTAATAGTTTTAAACTGGGATGCATTAACATTAATCTTTTTTGTGGTCCAAATTCTTAAAACGTCATAAATTAATTTAGTTATGCAAAATAAACTTTTAAAATCTACTGTATAAAGGCTGCCAAAGCCCAAATAACATTTTTATAGGTTGCAAGGATATTACTATACTTAGAAGATTCAGTAACTTAAGAAAATTTAGAATGCATACGAAAGGATGGAGTGCACTTAGGCTTTAGATTTGTTTGGATCTGCAAAGCACATTAAAGATTTTATGGGCTCACTGTTTCATTAATGAAAAAATCTGGGCATACAAAATTTATGTATTTTATTTATGTAAATGTTGACAAACATGACCATTTTCCTTTATGGTTCTGATGCACAGCAGTACATGCCTCCCAAAGGAAAAAAAGAAAAAAAAGAAAAATAAGTTACCATAGACATCAAATCATGTCAGAAAGGAGGAAACTGGGATGAGTGTGCAAGTCAGAATTTACATTTTCTGCGGCATGCAAATATTACGTCTAGTTTGTACATCTTTAAAGCAGAAAGCTTTGGGTTTTAGTGCAGGCTACAGTGTTGTTTAAAACTAATGGGATTAATACTTTCCATTTAGAAAACAAAAGCCCTGAACATTAGCTGAAATCCATGTTAATTACAAACCTTCATTAACTCAGCACAGCTGTCAATGTCAGATAAAAAGGCTGTGTGGAGCAAGACATCAATTCAATCCCTGCTCTTCCAGTTATCGACTTCTAATTTAGAGCTGACTTTCTTGGCAACTGGTGATATTTGAAAATCCCTATACTTAAAAAATCACCCAGGCAACCAGGCAAGTACTATATTACATCCTCAAAACGCATGGTGCTGTTTATATCCTACAACCACAATTATTTTTTCCATTACTCGGATCTACATTTTTAAAATCCTCTGTTCTTATTAGCTCCTTGTTAAAGTGGTCCCATAGATTTATGAATAGCATAATATACCATCAAAGGAAGTTAGGCATAAACTGGCCTTTTCAGAAAATTCCATTTGTTTATAAGCAATCAAGCCATCTGAAATCATGCCTAACTGATACACATTTCCAGCATTTCCAATGTAATCATAAAATACAAGCCATTTGCACTAATAATAGAGTCCTGGCAACACATTCCTAATTTCAGAAATGTATTTTACACACTTTAATAGAGCCTGGAAGATTAAGGTTATTTATTTCACTTATAGCCTACACTTATATTGCAACTGGAGTCATATGCCCCTACACACCAGCTGCACTATTTCAGCAGACCTAAAAAAATACAAAAATTAAACTTACAGATATTCACTTCTAGTTAGTAAGGTGAGAAGAGGAAAAAAGCAAAGAAGATTGTTAGTGACTTCACCTGAGAAAGAATAAAAATGGTAATAAATTTAAGCCTATGAAAATATGTAACGAAATATATCTGATTAAATTGGTAGGCTGTTCATTCATCATTGCCTTCTCATATGGAGTGGCTCTCTGGACAGTTTCTTCTCCCCATCAATCAAAGACTCCAAAGATCGACTAAAGGGAAGGGATTAGACATCTGACATTTAATTAAGTATATATTGCTTTAAGCCACTATTTATAAACACACATAAATCATATACTGTACTACAAAGGAGAAAATGAAATTGTGAGGTTCAACTTTATAAATGATCCAGTGGATGGCTAAAATAAACAGATTCAGGATAGAACAAGTGCAACTTCACAGGCTGTGCTGGAAACAGGATCTGCCATTCATTTTCTACCAGTATGACACAGGAACACTGTTGCAGGAGGACAAAAAATTTAATTAAACTACTAATTAGTTAATTAAGTTTCAATTTGTCAGCTGATCATCAATAAAGTCCCCCAAAAATTGTAATTACCAAGAAGCTAGTGTACAGTACATCCGAAATCATGCTCTTCTACATATCACTCTAACAGATGCCGAACTGTGAAAACTGAAGATGAAGAATTTTGGCAATTGTATAATCTCAAATTGTCCGAGGAGCACACTTGTAAGAAGCAGCTCAAGTATGATTTGAATGATCAGATGTGTGAACTATCAGAGCTTTTGTTGTTTATACATTACCATTTAGCTATGACACTTTAAGAACAGAAATCTGAACGGTTATTTTTCAAAAGTAAATTGCCTACAATGCAGTAGATACAATGTCAGCAGAAAATTCTGTAAATTATTTCTGTGTGTACAATTTCAGGCACACCCAGTGATAAATAACAAGCCGTTCTGGGAATATGGATGTCATGGAACCCGCAAGTAAAGGCATTGAATAAGGAATAGCTGCTAAACGATAGATTCTTAACCCTGTGTGTATTCTGGTTGGACATCCAAAGCTTATCCTGCCTTTATTCCCTGCCTGGGGCAAATGTTCAGATTTTGACAGTATTTTAAACTGAAACCAGTAGAGCTGAATCAGGGACTTTGACTAGAGAGGTAGCTTTGCAGCCCAAGTTTCACTGTGATGCAGATCTCTAATGATCCAGAAAAGCTTTATTTAGAAGGCAGCATATGTTCTTGTGCTTTGGTTTGTCTTAAAATAGATGCAGTACATCAGTTTAAACATCTTTTTTTCTTTTTTTTTGAACTATAAAAAATAATGCTTTTGCAGGAGATGTAGCCATTATCATCATGCCATCAAATTCAACAAGACCTTGGAATGGGTAAGGATCCAACTACTTCCACTAATATTGATCAGTTTTCAACCCCTTCAAACACTTACACGCTAATGTATTATCAATACAATACATGACAACCATATTCTCCAATGCTCTATTTTCCAGGATATTAGACAAGGTCTTGGTCTTGGTCTCTAAAGGTCCCGTGTCATTTTATGTAAGACTATAAGTGTTAATCCCTATCACCTGGCTTTGTTCAGACCAGCCTTCCTAAAAAAATGCCCATTGATTCAGTTGGTGGACTGGTAAAGGAACCTCACATGCCCACCTGTTCTATTATGTAGTGCAACTGTGGGCGCATAGATGTTGTGCCACATCCACGTGGTGGCTATACTTCAGTAATGGATAAAGTATGTCCCCCGTCTTTTTATTGCAGTTTTTAATTATGTATATAATTATACCTTTTTTTCCTAATTTTTAATTGCTCAAATGATTACTTCCCTCCTTTCTTGGCCCATAGCTACAAAGTTAAAACTAAAAGCTGACAATACATTTTGTTATGAGCCAATTATTTTTTCTGAGTTGTCAGCCAAGTGCTGCTTTAATTAAGGAGATTTGGATGGTCCCCTTGTCTTGGCTGAGAATTTGTTTTCACTCATGCATGCCCAGTGGCTACCAAGAGCATCCTCTGTTGTTTTAGCAGGGGGAAGGTGGTGGGCAATTTATTCCGTCATTTTTGACACATGGACTGCTCTTTATTTTAGCTTGCAAGCTAGCAATGGCTAGCGTTAATCTGTAAACTTTGATAGGTAATTTACCCCAAAGTCAAACAAAAGAGCACTTACCGTATGCATTTGCAGAACAGAGTTTCTCCTCATAATAGTTTGTTACTAGATTTTATATTATATATAGATTCCTGAAATGAGCTTTTCTGCAAAGCCGCTAAATGTTCTGGATTATCTGCTTGTCTGAAATTACTGATATTTTAGCAAGATTAACAATGAATAAGTGGTACAATTCTGATTCTTTAACATGAGCAAATATAGCTTAAATGACAACTGCTTTATACCAGGGTAAATTTCATTTTCAAAAGCGAAAAAATGCTCACAATTAACATATATCATAAAAAAAACAAATTATTAGAAAATAGCATGGACGCACAAATTGTAGTGAATACAAAGAGAGTTTAGTGTACAGTCTACTGCAACAAGCTTGCATACAGTAAAGAATTAAATATTGCAGATTATGGAAGTGGTGGCTGTTATCTTCCTGAATAATCATGCTATATGTTTTGTGGAAATATCTATACAGGATATGATTTATATAAATGTATATATTTTAATATGATGTCTGGAGTTGTTGCTCTGTTTGTCCTGCACTCACAATTGGCCCACCATCTTCTTCCACTGCCTCTTATTTATTTTCATCAGTTATTTACTGTTTGACGTGATACTGTGTGGGTGTGTGTTATTGGAAATTACTGAGCCTGGTGAAATGAGCATAGCTTCAGGAGAAGGTTAGGGCCACTCATGTACAGCCTGGACTTTTTTTTTCCTTTTTACAGAAAAAACATAACAAGCATTCAAATTTCCATTACAGCCTTGTCAGTGCTAAATTAGTACATGATCATCACAGAGACACGGATTGTTCAAAAGCAAGTGAAGTGTGAAATCAGAATTAGACAAAACACAAAACTGAGTGCGAATGCAGACAAGAGTTCAATTTCAAGCACAGAGGTGTCAGCTCAAACACAAAGAAGTGTTTATTACTGATGAGGTGACTCAAAGCAATACAATTGTTGAACTACTTCTGTCACATGTGGAGGTATTTCCAGGACTGTGTAGAGTCATAGCATGCAAAAAAATCTGCTTCTTGATGTGAAATTGTCCAAATTGGAATTTAATTTAGCCAGCAGCCATATCACCCTG